TAAAGATCTTACCGGAACACAACGAGCACATCTGAGTACTCGGCGGAATCTCGCCGAGATCCTCGCACTCGGTGATCGCGTACCGGCCGCAGAGCGTTCGCTCCGTGCCCGTACCATCTATATACATGGCATGATATTTAAGACTCAGATCCCTTGAGGACCCCGCAGCCGATCTAGCCTTGGTGACATAGGTCAGAGCGAGATCACCGAAGTCGACCAGATTGGTATCGTCGGCCTCGAACTCCGGTGGAGATTTCCAGTCGGATGCTATCCTCTTCGTGAGCCGCTTGACCATCTCGATCGAGATCTCTTTGCGGCTCCGAGCGTACTTCAGGACCAGCTGGCTTGGATCCTTCCAGTTCGCTTGGAGCCGATCCGCCGCCGAGAGCAGCGTGACCCGGCAGGAGTGCCAGGTGATCTCCGGCACGATCTTCAGGAGCTCCTTGAGCCGCTCGGGCGAGATGTGCCCGCGCTTCAGATCGTCCGAAGCTGCAGTAGTGAGCACGTACCGCAGCCACAGGATGCTCCGTTGGTAGCTGGCAGGCCGATCGGCGAATCGCTCAGCCGATTCGAGCTCTTTCATGAAGTAGTCGCGATCGTCCATTTCGAACGCAGCTGCGTGCCATCCGTCTTCCATCCAGTCGGATCCGGAGACGGAGACTCTGGCCGCCGCGAACCGCGTTCCCTTCTTTTGTCGCTCGACCTTAGTCTGCCAAACCACCCCATAGAGAGCCTCGTCCTTCAGGGCGAGCGCCTCGGGCACGACGTGGAGCGCGTCGTCGAACCTGAGGGACGAGTAGATCATCACGAGAACCCACCATGCGAAGAACGCCATGGGGAATTGGCTCGACTTAAAACGAGCGCACACGAACCGCTCGAGCGCCGCCACCAAGATCAGAGGGACGGGGACCGCTTCCCTCGTCTCTTTCCCGCGATCGCCAGAGACCTTCTTCTGCAAGGCCATGATCCGGGGATCGAGGAGGTCGGGCAACGACAAGCCGATCCGCTTGCAGATCCATTTGACCGCCCCACGTACCGAAGGTATCACGGTGGGGCCGCAACCTCGGTCGGAGAGATCTAAGAGGTACTTGACGAGCACGTCGGTAGTCAGCGGGATCACCGCTAGGTTCTGCGACCTCGCCCAAGTCTCAATCCTCTCCCAGTGACGAACGCACTGCTGGATAGTGCGGAAACCGCCACTCTCGAAGACGATCAACCTCAATGCATTCATCTCATCTTGAGACAGGGGTGATCCCGGCTTCGGGTTGCCCGCGATCGCGGCGTGCTCGCCGCACCTCTCCACGATCGCTTTCAGCCTCATGCCCCACTTTCGGGCCTCGCCGAGCTCACGGGTTTTGAGCGATGCCTGCGGATCTTCAGGCCTCGGCTCGATCGCCCGCGGCCTCTTGGCGAGCGGCAATGGCATAGGAGGCTCCTTGCCAGTCCCCTTCGACTTCAGTGGCGATCGCCCGAAGACGACCGGAGCTTCAGCCAAGCCGAATCCCAGATCAGTGGCCAGATCAGCCCAGCCCGCTGCTGCCGTGCTACGAACCAGCACAAACAACAGCTCGATCGACGGAACCCACCTGCCGAGCTCCTCCTCGTTCTTCCGCCGATCTGGCGTGTGGAGTTCCTCGAGGGCAGGGACAAGATCAATGAATGCTTGCACACACTCAGCGATCGTCCCGTCCGAAACAGCCGTGAGCTTCTCGAACTGAGCCATCCGAAGATCCACCAACCATTGGCAAAATTCATCCCCGAACAGGGGGAGGGATAGGATCTTCCGAACGGACCTATCCATGCTGGGCCTGAACAGCTGCACGAACGATCGCACGTGCCTGCTAATGGTAACCGAGCGCCGTGCCTGAGACAGGTATTGATCAATCTCACTTCCGGCAGAACATGCGCTGGGATCTAGCGCGCCGAGAGGATCGCTCGGCATGTTTGTTCCGCGGAAGAGCCCGGCTGATCCGCCAGGAGGCTTCGGTCGCGCGGCGCACCACTCTCTTAGGAGCGTGCACAAAAACCGACCATCACCTAGGCTTCGATCGACAACTACTCCGTATTGTCCATCGTGTAGGGCCCCGTTGACGATCTGGCCGGCGGGTAAGCCGGGGCGAACGCCTTCGGCACCGTGGTCGTAGTGGAGGGGGAAGCCGTGATCTCTTGGCCCGTCTCCTCCACCCTGACCGTGCTGATCCGCTCGTACTCCGCCTGCTCACGGTGCTGGAGCACGTCGGTGAAAACCTGAGGCGTGATCGCAGCCGACGTGCGCGAGAATCGCATGTCGGCCCTCATGCGATCGCGGGCATCGGTGACGACCTCCTCGGCGATCTGCTCCTGGCCGAGCTGGCCCTCCTCCGGCACCGGAACAGTGCTCACCCTCTGGTCGAACACCTGCTGAGCCGAGGTGGGCATGTTGGTGAGCGCCGAAGTGACCGAGGAGCCCAGCTGCTGAACCGCCTGCCGAGCCGCCTCTTCCATGAGAGCCGGGGGGCCGTTCCGAGCTCGAACGGCGTTGTTCTCATCGTGCGACCGGTGGGCGAGCGCCTCCTGCCGGACGAACTCCAGTGGGCAGACCCTGAGCTTAGATCTAGCCCGTACGTGGAAGTTCCCATGATCCATCGGGAACTCGTCTGTCGCAGTTCCCACTTGCACCTGTTCGTGGGCGAACGCACTGTGGTACCAGGGGGCGATCACCGCAGACAGCTGCGCGAACTGCTGGATGTGGTCTGGACCTTCCACGCGAGCACGCTGGGTCCGACAGGCCTGGATCGTGCTGATCAGAGCGGGGCCCGAGATGTGGCTGACTGTGAGCCACGTGCCAGGCACCGAAGTCCTCCCGCACTTGAGATCGATCCGGTTATTGGCGTCCCGGAACCGAAACTCAACACGATCGGCGTCGTTCCCATAGCCTTCTCGGGACGAGCGTTCTGTCACCCTGAGCTCACAGGTGCTCATGGCATGGTCGCTCGCCATCACTGCTCCTCTCGGGCCGATCGTGTAGACTCGGGCTCCAACCTCGAACGAGGTCACGGAGACCTTCCATCCAACGAAGACCGAGATGACGATCGAGGGTCGGAACCATCCTTCGTTGGCTGACCGGATCAACACCTCGTCGCAGAACTGCTGCTGGACAGAAAGATCCGAGTCCGAGCGGTAGCCCCTGAAGACCCAATGGAATAGGACCTCGTTTCCATTGAAGACCTTCACATCCACATAGGTGGCCGAGGTGTCGAACATCACCGGCCAAGTGAAGGGCTGGAAAGCCGGGTGCGATAGCGCCCGACTCGCGTAGGAGTCCCACTGAGCACATGGTCCCCCTGTTTTCGAAGACATCGAAAAGAGCAGAACGGCCTTGATGCCATCGAGCGTATAGTTCGCGAACAGCGAACAGTGGTAGCCCGAGTTCGGGGGCATGACCGAGTCCCGCTCCGTCAGCACATTGATCGAGCTGGCGGCATTCGAGATGATCTCCTCGGCCAGCCAGTTCTGGAACGGGGAGATCACCCGGTCATCGCGGTTGTCGATGACGAGGAGCGAGTTCTGGGTCTCGTCCTCTTCCTCGACCACGACCTGGCGAACGAACTCAGGCCGCTGAACAGCGAAGGGGTTGTGGGCAGCAGGAGCCCCGCGGTCACGACGTCCACGACGATCGTCGCGACCCCAGCCTCCAGAGCCCCAATCGCCGGATGCGGCAGCTGGAGCCGCGGGATTCTCGGGAGCCTCTGCCTCGCCTGGAACGTAGTGTCCCCAGTTACCCGGATTCTCAGGCTGACCAAGCCGGCGAGGCAACCCGAACTGTGGGGCCATCGGAGCCGCCATCTGCCGACCTTGATGGAAGCCAGCGGGAGGGAACGACATGGCTGCGATCGAGCGAGCCTATTCACTTCCACCTCCCACGCCGATTTTTCGGTATGGCCCGATCGGCTATCGCCAAAATGGCCACGGAGAAAATAGATCAAGTCTGTTCCAACGATCGCGAAACTGATCTCCTAATTCCTACCCACCAGACCGATAATTAGGAGACACACATATATACATATTTATTTATGTGGGGTCTAAAGTGAAAGTGCTGGAATATACTGACATGCGAGCAATATGCAATACGTTGAAGTCGGGAGAATAACTCTACCGCGCTCTGATGCTTCATTGCCTGTGGACTGCTTCGCTCTCAGGACTGCTTCCTGAAGCTGGGCCACGAGCTGCGCAATGGCATGCACAAGCCTTGCATCTTTCGTCTGTGAACTGCACTCGAGGCTAGACTCGACTCATTCATCGACAGAAAGCATTGCAGGCCCGGTAAGCAACAAACACATCGGGCCGACACTGGCACGGAGGCGACCAATCGAATCAGGTGCACTTCACGTATGTGTTTACGTATGCCTGCCCGAGCAAGTCACTGAGACCTAAACAAACCCCCTTCAATTCGCTCATTGGGTGAAAGAGTTCAAAAAGCCATCGTTGAAGTCCTTGTTCCCGGTTTCATGGCTTGTCTGCGCCCGAACACGCCCAAACAGCATTCATGAAAGGGTGTAAGGCTGTATGCCTTCAACGTTGGCTTCCAGCTGCAGCCTGGAAACATTGGAAGCAAGTAGGCAACGGTCTTACCGCTGCCGGTCTCGGCCTCAGTTTGGCAGGAAACGCCGCTTGAATCCGCTTGACAAATCGACGAAGCTTTTCCGCAAGGCCTCAATGCTGGCGTCCGCTTTGAACACTCGACCTCAAGCTCTCGACGAAGCCAAATCCGGCTTCCTGGATCCAAGTGGTGGACTTTCCGCCGATGGAAATCTCAGCTGTCACGTCTGATTGCGGCGCGGAATTTCGAAGAGGTTGGTGGCGTGCGCTCGCGTGGGGGCAGAGACCTGCTGAAACGGAAATCTGCTGAAGCCATCTCAAGCCTATATCCTCTCTGTGGACGTCAAGTGCTGCGCCATCACGAGAACTGTTTAACATGGCCTCCAGGGTTGGTGTTGAGCGACCTTTTGTAAGTGGAAGCCTCACAGTCTCGACCTCCTCCTCTCTTGACAACGACCATCTATGCTTGGTGAGATTCGATAGACTTCATCTTTGATCAGAAGACTCGGCAGCACTAGGCCTTCCTGCATTAGCGTCTGCGTTGCTGCTGCCACCACCTTGGCACGCCCGAGGCCCTTGAAGCCATCCATACCACCGGAACTGCGCAGCCACTCGCGCGTGACGCAGCGATAGACCTCGTCGTCAGACATAGGTCGAAGATCATCACCGATTCTGATGCTCCCTTTGTCCACCCGAGCACCAGGATCCCGCGAAGGATCAAACTCAAAGCGCAAGCCACTTACATGCAGGAAGCAGCCCTTCCTCGCTGGAAGTTGCGAAACTGAATGATCCAAGGTCTCCAGCAACTCTTCGCCGCTCATGTCCAGGACACAAAGTGAATCTTGGTAGGCCACCATACCCAGAACGTCCTCCTGCGTCAGGACTCCTGTGTAGGTCCTGTTTCCTCTCATCATACCACCGTTGATGAAGGCCGCATCACATCGGACTTTGCTTCGACAAGATTGCAGGATACTGTCTGCGATGAAGTTTCCGACATTCGACTCCCTCGAGCGGACGGTAGCTTCTCTGCAGTCTAAAACCACATCAGACTGCAGAACACGCCTTTGCAATTGTGGCCGGATAGATTGGTACACCTCGCTCTCAAATCTGGCAGCTGCTTGGTCTTGCTCTCCAGACTTCGAAACTCTGTGGAACTCCGAGCGCCACCGCCCCGAAACGTAGGTTAGTTTGGAGAACCCCTCGAAGTCCGATCCACTTTTCAAGACTTCACCGGGGCCACGGATGCTTGACCCGACTATGGGGCAAATCATGTGATCATGGCCTCCAAGGATGAGGTCAATTCCTTGAACCTCCTCGGAAAGCCTCTCATCGGAGATCATATCCATGTGGGTGAGGGCGATGACGATCTCCGCACCAAGCTCTCGCAGAATCTTCACCATGTCCTTGCCCGTGTCGACGAAATCCTGGAAGTACTGATCTCCGCCCTCGAAGAGTTGGGCAGCATTCCGGTCCATGAGCCCGAAGAAACCTATCCTCAAGCCTTCCACGTCCTGCAGAACGTGTGACCTCAATGGCAGCTGCTTGTCCCGTGCCAGGTTCCCCAAGTTGCTGACCACCCACGGGAAGCTGCAAGCTTCAAAGAGCCTGCCGCCCTCCGAGAAACCGAAGTCGAACTCATGGTTGCCTGGGCATGCGACATTGACTCCAGCCATGTTCAATGCTTCCGGCATTTGCCCACCCGCTTTCAATGTAGACCATGTAGACCCACCAAAAGCATCGCCACTGAACAGAACGAGGACCTGCCATCGCGTGCACTTCGGACTGCTTAGAACAAATTTAGTTTGAGCCCTCATCATCGCTGCTATGTGAATCCCGTAAGGGAAGGACATCAAATTGGTCTTGTGTGCTGTCGTTGGTCGCTGCCCTTTGCAAGGTCCTCGCTGTTGTAGTCGCGGCTTCCGAGAGAAAATGAACTTCCATCTTCTCGGAAGCCGCGACTGCAAGAACGAGGATTTTGCAAGGGCAGGGAACCCTGGCTTGCTTAACGGAACTGACCCCCAATCAACACGCAAATCACAGCGGCTGCGAGCCTGGCCAAAGGTAGCTTTCATAGATTCTTGCTCATCCCTGAGCTCCTTCACAAAGCGGGCAAACTTCCCGTCCTGGATATTGTAGACGTCATTGAAGTGGAGCAGTGCCAAATCCCTCATGGAGGGCTGCAAATCGCAAGGATTCCAGCTTTAAACTCGAGCCGGGCTAAGGCCAAGATCATCGCTTTTGACCGCTGCTGGCCGATGCTGACAGTCCTATCTACTTTGGGCGCGCGGCTACGCCGATAACATCCCGACCTGAGGCATCTGGGATTGTCCTCCCATGTCCATGCGGCTAGCATCTGCTGGCGTAAACCGTCGTGACCAACAGTGGCACTCTTCGTGGCGACAGCTTACGATAACACAGTGTTCCCCCGTGTCTCAGCATGACTGGCGGTCCACTGGCGGCGGCTAGCCAAGCTACACCCACAACTCCGCCCGCAAAGCACTGGGGCACGAAACTGGATAGTGTTCGTGCTCTAAACGGATCTATTTTGAGGAGGCACTGGGTGGGATGAACTTTTTATGAGATGCACACATAACTTCTTCGTCATTCCTGTGCCTTTACTGACCTAATGTCGATTCACTACTGCTGCTGCTGGCCAGGGAATGGCTTGGCACCCTGCCGGACAAGGCAACGGGGATTGCCTGTGCCTGCGAGCTACACCAGGGCACGTGTGACCACCTAGTTGAAAGGCACGCTGGCCAGTTGCAGCAATCCCAGAATAACTGTAACAAACAAACTGCTGTCGAAGTGTTTTCTAGGCTGCTGGGGCAACGCAACGAGCGCAGTTGAGGCCGTCCGACGTTTGTAGCAGCATCGTTGCAAAAGAAGAGCGGCAGCAACAAGCGCCAGTCGCAGCAGCCGCGCGGCAGCAGCGGCATCATCATCAGAAGCATCCAATAGCGTGATTATGGTCATCATGTCAGTCGTTCGTCAGACATCCTGTTCCCTTCTTCTTCTTCGTGAGAAGCCATGATATGATTGCAACCATCGTCATCGTCATCCGCGCATTGCTAGGGGCAGCAGTAAGCTGAGTCTTGGCAGATGTGGCCATTTGACGCCGAAACAAGCAGCAAAATCGTGTAAAATGCAACTGACAAATGGCCTGGATGGCGGTAGGCTGCTGGTAGCCGTGGCGTCGAATTCCCTGCAGACAGGTTTGCTTTTCCTGTAGATCTGAGTCCATGCTGGTGTGTCGTTCTGTGCAAAGCATCCCCGCCGACCGCGCTGAAAATCCACCAAGAATCTTACGGCAGATGTGTTGCGACAGGTCAGAGCCTCCATGATCTCTCGGCCCAGCACGTGGGCAAGGTGGGCAAAGGACGTCACTGGAGCTACAATTTGCGATCCAGTCGCACCTCAGGCGGCAGTGGCATCTTCAACAGTCGGCAGGCGGACAGGCACACTGATTGAAGCCGCCGTCAAGGCTCCCACTCACGCGCAGATCGAGCCGCGCTTGGGCGATCTGCACTTCGTGAAGCGTGCAGTGCATGCTCCGTGCTGGCTTATGACGGAATCTATGCAAGCTGATGCAAAAAAAGTTGAGCAAGCTTCCAAACGTGGCATGTACCCGCACCAAGGCACAAGACCCACAGCAAACGATGCTAGCCATGACGCAGGGAATCCAAATCAGAGATGGCCTGCTCGTTAGTCATCTTCGCAACTTCCTCGTGAGGCTTGTAAAAGTTGGTCTGCACCTCAGATCCCAGAGAGCCAAAGCGGCAGATTTGTGCTCCAGCGTCGGTGAAGGCAAACCGCCCCGATTCCGTTCCGGGCTCCGTGCAGGGTTGTAGCGAATTTGCGAATGATCCACCTGAGCTTCTCTTTTAGGTCCGTGACATTGTCAGCTCGATTCAAGCTTGCCTCTCCGTCTCTATTTCTCTGTCTTTCTTGGAATTTCTTGGATATCAATGGTGAGTTGGACTTGGATTTGGGCAGTGATGCATCTACTCCCTCTCAACTCGGCACCCCCTTCAAACTCATCTGCTGAGCCTCCACATGAAGCTGATCGGAAAATGATCATGTCCCAGACACTGCTGGCAGGGGCTCGATGGGCTTGTTGCGCCGGTCACCATCCTTCAGCTCAGACAACAGCCAGACTGGCGCAGAAGAACCCAGAAGTGAGAGGCAACCCGCTCAGTTCGCGCCTCGGGCTCGCCCTCGTCTTCAGGGTCTCCCGACTCCGGCTCGGCCTGCGCTCAAGATCCGAAGCCCGCCGAAGAGACGCGAAGCGAAGCGCTCGGCTCGGCCCAGATCTCTTTGGGTGCGCCTTCTCGTAGGCCTCGAAGTAGGATGCCACGAAGTCCTGCCGCGAAGCCCATCCAGGGGAGAAAAGAAAGCCCCCTCGCCAGCTGCGACTCACCGCAAGCTCCGCGTTTGAGGCTTCGCGGTGACCTTTCCTTTCTCGCTGATGCGGCCATTCTGTCTGCCCATTGGTTTGGAGCTCAGTGCTCCGAGGAGTCTCCGAAGCGGCACAGGGAAGGGCTATACAAATGAGTCGCTGCCAGATTGAAGCGTCAGCCAAGTGGAGCACTAGACTGGCACCTCAGGGATCACGACAAGTCCCCAGGCCCCACGCCTGAAACGCAAACTGCTGATATCTGTACGTCTCTCCACCATTCAAAGTTGAGCCTCAAGCTCAAGTGGAGTTTGACAACATTGTCGGCTCTTGCCGTTCCAATGAACGCTGCGGCGGACAGCCGCTCACGAGGTTCACTGACCGCCAAGCCAAGAAACAAAGGCGATCCAGAGGATGTCCCCAGTGTCCCCGGCAATGAACAAAAAGCGATGGAGTGTAGAAACCTAGGCCTAGTAAACTGCATTCTTCGGTCTACGTGCGCGCAGGATGTGGTGGACGTCCCGTCGACAGGGCCCAGGGCGAAGCCAGCAGCTGACAAAAGTGAGCTGTTGATATTAGAACTGCCCTGACAATTTGGAGGCTTCTAGATTCTAGGCATCATAGCAATAACAATCGCAGGCTCGTCGCTAGTCCCTCCGACTGCTGAGCTTGAAACCAGGCTTCCCAACTGACTAGGAATCTTGCATCTTCGGCAAACCGAGTTTCCTTTAATTCAAGAAACGCTTTTGGATTCCCAGCCAGGCGTACCCGCCTGTGGCGCGTGCATGGACCGCGCGGAACGGTGGCTCCCGGGCTTGGGGCCTTTGATGGCCCCATCCGCTCAGCTAGAAGGAGATGTGAGTAGCGGATAGAGGCAGCCTGTCGAGCGAGGTGCAGTGGTTAATAGCTGGTGGTGCTCGACTCTCTTTGGCAATCTTGTATCAGCAAATGGAACCAGAGCTGCACTGCAGCAAGTGATCATGCACTGAGATGCACAGCTAAAGGTTACAAAGGCCACCTCACATCTTGCGAGGCTTCGACATGATCTTGGAGACGAGTCCAGGCAGATCCCGTGGATGATACTCCTTGGATGATTATAGGGAACCAGGTATGACGATGCACTCTGCAGTGTGCGTGAGATGAGCCTCGGAAACTCAGCGGGGCTACGAACCACGAAACCTGCCTGAAGAGCTGCATACCTCACAGACTCACAGATCTTTCCTGGCCTCGGACCGGAAAGTCCCTTTGATCCCCTTCAAGGCGAGGCATGCGAGGCACCGTGGGCCGCTGGTGCCCAAGGCTTTGGTCGCAGGCAAGGACGGCGCGGACCCAGCGCTCCTTGGCTTCGGAATCTGCTTCCGTCTCGGACTGGCACTCCACATGTCTACAGCTTGAGATTCGACTCATGTCAAACTATATTGCTGTTAAGAGCTTCTTCGGAACCAACCTGGCCAGGGCTACTGACTACTCACCACTCAAAACCAGCCTATACTAGGCCCATGGATTGGTTTGGACGTTGCAGTCGGCCAAGGCATTTACGCTTAAACTTCAACGGCCTAAGGTTGGGTCGCCATTTCGTCCGCAAGGTCTACACACCCATTGCTGCCGGAGGTGCCGGCATTCTTCGCACACCGTCGCGGGCACCCAGAACGGCACCAACGACACAGGCCGTTGTGCCTGGGAGAAATTTGCAATGAGCTACTGAAGCCGAGGCGTCTCCTGCAAGGCTACAGGCCCTGACTTGAGTCTCCACCACCAGCGAGGGTGGCGCGCATAGCATCCTGCGCATTGAACACGGTGGGGTCGGCTGAGAACTGTGTGCGACGATGCCCCGTTCCTCGAAGGAAGCTCCGTTGTGCAGGTGTCTCACAGCGTGGCAAAACCTGGGCACGTGTCACAGCAGATGGATTTCAACAGCAAAATGGTGTCTGCGTCCATGGTGTCAATTCAGAAAGTGCTACATCAGCGAGCAGCAGCGAAAGCGACAAAGAGAGACAGAGAGAGAGAGGGACTCCGGAAGGACAGGGTACAGGATTCTAGTTCCTAGTTCACGGCACTCAATTCCCCATGAAGCTGCATCCGTGTCGACAAAGGAGCGCTTCGCAACCTCACCACTGCTACTGTTCTTGGTCCGTTGGCGGGATCTCGGCAGAGCCCACTTCCTTGGAGAGCAGCGCGGTTGCCTGAGCTAGGAACAAGTAAAAGCTTCGCCGCGTCTTTCAGCGCAGCTCTGAGCCAGAGGCGGACATGTCAGAGAAGGGCAGTGGCCTGGGCTTCGCAGAAATTCGCAGATCCTGCAAGGCCTTGACACCAACAACAAATAGACGAAGCCCGGCGGCTCACTGCCCTGGGCTTTGCGGACCCATCGAAGCACCTGGCCGGGACCACGGCTCGACATGCGCATTTCGCCATTCATGGCGTCTCCGTGGTATCGGCGCCTCCTCACAGGCCACCAGCTCCTCACCTCGGTCGTCGGTCAGGTGGAAATGTGACGTTTGCACTTCCCATCCGGCCTGGGGGGGACCAGGCATCTGCATCCTCGCCTCCCGATGAGATGTGCGTGAAGCCTAGGCCCCACACACGGCTCATCTCCAACAAGCTCCATGGCCAGAGTCGCCTGAGCCCGCGCCTTGGCCGCGTGGCCCATCGCCCGGCTTGGGAACGCCCGTGCGAATGCGCTCCTGCTGCCTTCAGAAACATGACTGCAGTCTCTGAAGATGTCTGAAGTCTCCGACGTGTAAGGTCCGATGCTGCAGGTGACAGCTGGCCTTTTCATCC